CGTTTCTATCGCGCACATAGTAGCACTACTAACAAGGGCCTCAGGTTTGGCCGCGTTCCTCACAAGATACTTGCGTGCGATAGAAACGGCGCAGCTCCAACTTATCGCTGATTTGCCAGGGGGTGAGGCCGACGCTCGTTCTCTCATTGTGGAAGTTCAGCGGGCCCCTCCAGGCAATCTTCCCGCAACAGAAGCGCAGTTCGTACAATCTCTCCAGTGGTGGCGAGACAACTACTCGCATGCGCTCGATCATAAGACGACAAAGCAATTTGTCGACAAAGCGTCGGCGCAAGCAGTAGAGTACGCGCGCTCTTTACCGCAAAAGCCTGGTCCTAGCAGACAGGCTCCTCGAGTTGTACAGCCATCTCCTGCTCCCAGTGCGTCCACCGGAATGGGCGCCCCGACCAGTTCTTCTCGCTCTCGGGAGGATGGACCCTCGTCCAGTTCTTCTAGGAGGGGAAAACGTGGTCGCGCACCATCTCCAACAGGGACTCCAGGAGAAGTACAACCGAGACGTTCCCGCCAAGCTTCACAGGAACCGCGAAGCAGCGACAGCGATAGACAGACTCCTTTCAGTCCGTCTCCGCAGTTGCCGCAAGCGATTCCTAAGAAGGATCAACCGCCGTGCATCTTCTGTTCGAACAGAGGGCACTATTCCGCTGAATGCCACTACAGAAAACGTCTTTCGGAGAGGGCTAGTATCCTCCGAGACATCAAAGTCTGTAGTAAGTGCTTAAAAGTTCATACGAACTTCTGTACCCGCTTACAGAATTGTATGTTGTGCGGTCAAGACAATCACCATCAGGCAGTCTGTGTGCACAACTTACATGCTATAATCGACATCAACACACCCGCTGCGACCTTCTATAACGATCTCGCTAGAGATACGTTCGTCCCTGAGGATGGAACTCAGAGACATCGACGTACTTTTCCGCATAAGTACTCGCGAGGCCGATCAGGGGGAAGATCGTCTTCCCGTGACCACCGATCGGAATCGCGAGGAAATTACCGCAGTGCGCGTCCGTACTGAACAGTACGAGATGCCACTTTACCGCTGTTAGAGTTCAATGAAAGTTACCGCTGTCTGAAAGATATGAAGGTTACCGCGTTGTTGCCCAAGTGGAAACACAACAACTTACCGCCGGTTTTCTCTTACTTTAGGTACGATCGACAAAATGGGCAAGGACTGACGACGAAGATGGGCAAGTACAGTCAACTAAGATGGGCACGTGGCAAACGACGACGACTACGATTCTATTCTACAACATCGTCAAGTCAATCAACATCTTGCTACGTCACATCAAGTTGCTGTTTCGAGTTCGATGGTTTCGATGGTCAATCAGTCCAATGGTCAACGACGAATGGAAAGTGGAGGATTCCGGCGCAATTCTGTAACTTCATCCTTTTCTTTTTTGAGTAGCCCTTAAGGCGCTCAGTATGTCTCTCTGGGTATCCTTAAGATACTCAGCATTTATGTTTTTTGCGAGTTGCCCTTAAGGCTCTCGCCCTAGGTTTCGTCGAAGTGTTTTTAAGATAGTTCTAGTTGCTGTGTTTTCATTTGTTGCATAATTGCATTTGTTGTGTTTTGAGGTACCCTTAAGGTGCCCAGTTTCTCGCTGTATGGTATGGTCTTTGTGTGATGTGGTTTATCGGTGGCCCCTAAGGCACCATCTTTCTGTCATGAGTTTATACTATGTAGGGGACTGCGATTAGGTTAGACAGATTTGAAGGGATGACCATGCAATCCATCGTTCGCTAAGGGGGAGGCATAGCCAGTCGCCCGGATTTTTTATCTGAGTTTCCAATTAACCCCCGGACCGTTCGTTCCACGACAACCCGGGAGCACGCTTTGATCTCTCCGGGAGTGTGCGTTCGCGACAGCGGCCGGGGTCTCGGCCTGGTCGTGGCGGGCTACCCGGGCAAAGCGCGACGGCGACCGCCGAAGGCGCGCGCCCCGCCGCCCAGTGGAGCCTTATAAGGGCTGCTGCGAGCCAGTCGGTGTGCTTCTCTCCCTCCGGGAGGAGAGATCCACCGGGCACCCGCTCTGCCGCCATGATGCCGGACGGTTCTGCAGGGTGCTTGCACTCTGTACAGCAGTGTGGTCGGGCACACTGCTCCGTCTGGCGGAGCTCTGGCTCAGGCCCGTGCCTGCTATGACCCGAAGGCACGGCCGGCTGCGGGTTGCAGCTTGTAGCCGCAGAGCGCCCTTTACCGCTAGGATTACCGCTAGGACAGATGGCAGATGGATGGTCAGTCCAGCTACGGCAGGATGTAAGGACAGTTGGAAGATGGTTACCGCAAACACGTGAGTTAATAAATATGGTGTTTATATGTTTTGTTATGTTGCAATAGGTGGGAGTTGGGAGCGACCGGGCAGGTGGGCCCGTAAGGTGCTGGTAAGGCAGGGAAGGTACAGGTTGGGTAAAGGTATATTTATTATTGGTCATATTTCTATTGGTATTTTGTGTGGTTGGTTATTGCATGCCGTAGGGGGTTAACAGGCATGCTGTCAGACCGGTTACGGCAGGCTGCGACAGTGGGAGGGCCGGCCGACCTGGGGGTCCAGGACGGACATGAGGGAGGTCGGACCCCCACGGGGACATGCCTGGTCATGGGCTGCCGTCCCCTGCAGCCTGTCACGGGCTTAGGCCCGGGTGGTCCCTCGGGGAACCGAGACTATATCGTGCGGGAAAGCGATATGGCCCCCGGGGAACTGTGAGACTGAGGTGGGCTAATGGTGGGTGAGCGGATTTCGATACACTGATGCTCGTCGTGGGAGAGGACTAGTAGGGCGGTCTCTCTCTGAACTGCGACAGGGTGACAGGAAGTGATATCAGCTGACAAGGTCCGATAGGAAGCGCCAGAAGGGAAGGGTCACTGAGTACATAGCACGGGTCACAGCAATGGTGGGACGTTGGTCCCATGATATGATACAGGGTATCGGAAAGGAACATTATTGGTATGTGACAAGAACTGCTAGCAGCTGATAGGATTTGATAAGGGGGGGGGGTTAGAATGGGAAGGCCACCATAATCATAACGGGAGACGAAGCATCAGACAGGCGTTGGTTCCAGCAAGTGATAAAGAGGGGGACGTGGGGACCGACGGTGGGTGACAGACAGTGATAACAGCTGAAAGCGGTTGATAAGGAACATTGCCGTTGGTGTTTAGTCGAAGTGCTAGAGGACATACACGCATTGTATGCGGGATAGGCATGCAAAGATGTTGAGCGCAAGGGGGGGGGCATGTAGCCTGCCTGAAACAGGAAACTTAACACATTGGCGACAAGGCACCATTTCGCGTGTGTGCTGCGTTGGACAAAGCAATTTTTCCCTATTTTCGAAGAATGCGCATAAATGCTAGGGCGTTTATACGCCAAAAAATTGAAATGGTCAGAATTCATTGCAGAAGCTAGTAAGGCTTCGCTATTCTTGTTTACTTTCAAGATAAACCCTGAAATTTCATGGAATACTCCCGCCTCATTCACG